ATGTCACCCCACCTATTAGTCATATTTGCCTGATAAAAGAACAGCTCAAAGTTAAATAAAATTATTATCAAATTTGCCGATAAATGTCAATGAAAAGAGGATGTATCTTTTATCCAAACAAAACATACACATCTCTATCCTGATCTATTTATGTGGGAACCAAATGAAATGACACGACAGGTTGTGACTACGCAACGCTCTTCCAAACAACACCACTATATTAATTTTAAAACATGAGTCATCCACAATAAGCCTTTGTGATTCAATGTCTTTTCACCACTGGACATCAGCAGGAGGTTGTCTATTATTTACATGGTTTTTATGACTGCACAGCGACGGAAATGCCTGAATAAACACAGAAACAATCCTCCATCTGTTCAGTCCACAGCTCATTATCATGGAGACACAATCACTGCTGGATTCAAGCGTCAGTTGAAGTCAGATGAGTGAATAATAAAAACAACATGTAGACTTAGAGATTGCTGCTATTAGCTGTGCAGGCACAACCTGATACAGTTGGTAAAAACATGTTTAAAAACATTAACAGGACAGAGAGTTGCACTGGGAGGCCTGTTTCTTCATTACTGCAGAACGAACATGGTCACTGCAGTTTACTTTGCTTTAGACCCACATACTTTGTCCTGCTGCTGAAAATAGTCTGCAACATATTCACTATTTATTCCGGTTTGAATGAAAAAGACTAAAAATCATTACCAGCCAAGCGATTAAAAACTAAAATGTACGTTTATCTTTATGAAAAACACCATTTGAATTAGAGTGAAAGGAAATGTATGTAAAGAGAGATTGCACAAAGTTTAAGCAACAATTCCATTTGTTCTTTAATGCACACATAAATCTGAAATCAGTTTTTTGCTGCTTTCCTGAGGTTGTGTTGTTCTTGTTGTCATTATGGTTGTTGTCACTGTGCTGTGTCATTCTCTCCTCGACTGCAAAACGAGAGAGGACACCCTGACACAGATTAAACCTCGGCCAAGTCGGCCTCTTCATTCGTGAACCAAAACATTGCCGAAGAGAAAATGGGTTACAGTTATTATTGTCTATTATGTGTTTTTTGTTCTAAGCTCTTCGGCTACAAGAGTTTTTGTCGATACATAAAATACAAACAAACCACAGGTACAGAGACACACAGATTTACAACTTGTTTGGGAAATCACAGCCTGACAGGAAACCGCAAGAGTCAAGGACAAGGAGGGCATTAATAATAGATTGTATTTTAAATGAGACTAGTGTTCGACCAATATGTTTTTGTTTTTTTTTTTAATGGTGATGTTTAGAGAGCAGGGCTATTGTTGGGTGATATCTTATGCTGAAAACATACATTTAAAAACAACTAAACAAATAATGAGCCAAATTGCTGAACATTTTTTGCTGTGTTTATCTGTCTCGTAACCAAATTATATCAAAATGCAAGACATGGGGCTGATTAATCGGTCGGCCTGTCACTAAAAGGAAAAGCAAATTCATCCAAAGTAGTTCTGACACATAGAGGCCTGATCACTCATGCCAAAACTGCAAATAATTTAGGCAGTTGGTGAGCCATGTAAATGATTTCAGAAACGAAATCATCTTAAAGCTGCTCGAGTCAATTTTAACATATCCACAATGGATTCGAAAGCTGTCACTTACAATGACAAAACCACAGATGATCATCACTTGAATCTGTAGTTCCACTCAGCTTGCTGTTTTGAATTTACAGCATGAAACTACTGTCTTTGAGTGGTTTTCATGAACTTAATTTCCGGCCGTAACAGAGACAAGTATTCTTATATAGAAACCTTGGATAAACCTACCTAAACCAACACAGAACATCACAAAGAGAGTACAAACTCAGTGGAGCATTTAGCAGCCGACAGACATTTCCCTCAGGAGGTAGTGGAGACCAAACAGAGCTAAAAAGGGCTTTAATATTGGTATTTTATTAATCAGACAAATACTCGACTCCAAATCTCCACTATTGTCTGTGTGAATAGCACAACTGGTGGCTTTCCATTTACGGTCACCATAATAACTTTATAAATTGATAGTATAACATTCATAGGTCTCTTTTGATCAAGGAGCATTTACCTTGTCCAATATACTCATCAAATAAAAGATATGGCAATGTTGCATTCACAACAGTTGCTGTGAAAGTTAGTTTAAATAATAATAATGTTTACAAAAGCAATAAAGTGTTTTTGTCGAGTTTGAGCTTAAATGCAAATTCTCACAGGGGCAGGGCACTGCAGTTTGCCCAAGGCCACACCATTTTGTGGAATTACTATATTTTTCTTCTGAATGACTTGCAAGCTTTGAAACCTCCCTTACTCTGCCAACTGGCCATTACACCAAGCCAATCCCGAACCACTCCTGGAACCCATTCCACTGAGGGCAAACGGATCTAACAAAGATATATCTCTTCACACCCCTGCAAGGTCAAGGGCAGAGAGACCACTTGGCAGCTAGAAGAGGATCTTCTGCAGCCGGTTATCAACCACACTGGATGGCTCAACCGACTGAGCTAACACCTCCCTGTGGATCAATAGAAACAGGATCACGGTTGCAGGCCAAGATATTGCTCCTGTTCACCAGCTAAAGTAGGAACCATTCTGCACAGTGCTTCAGACACAGGAATTATTACACAGCAGGAAAACGTTTATGATGGAGTAATTGCATTGACAGATTCAGACCTGTGCGCAGACACAACCTCTACAAACCCTTTTGAGTATTAATTATAATTACACTAACTCTGTTTCAACTGAACCAATTCAAACAAGCAAGCATCTATGTCAACAGATAAATCCAGAATGAAAATAACCAGTAGTCCCCTGATATCTACCTCTATGAAATTTACAACCGAAATAAATGCTGATTAGATTTATACGGCTTGAATCAGAAATGGAATATGAAACACACTAAATATATTTTGAAAAACATTTTCAAGACACAAAGAACAAATATCATGGAAAGAGAAAATATAACACCATCCGTGCACGGGATTGATTCCATAATGGTACTTGCTTGATCCGAAGTGTTTTCATCTCACTGCCAGACCATTCGCTAGACAGTTCTCGTAAAAATGTACTGCATCACCATGGCAACCAGGAAAGTGGATGCAGAGACGCCGGTCTCCATAAGCCTGAAGCTCAGCAAGAGCATAGCATATGAGAGGAATTCCTTCGATAAAGCACTCCCCATCTTTTAAGGGGAACACAAGGAGATTGTTAGATTTGTTCGTACCGCCACACCAGCCATCTCTCTGTCCGGAGGAATGATTGATACATGCCAGGGGCATTCAAGTACAGAGACGCTGAGGAGGCATTAATATGATGATTAATCTGCACAGGAGGAGATGGTGGCATGGTTTGAAATGCCAAGGCTTCCTCTAGCTACATGTAGCAATGATGGGGAGGGCTGGATTGATAATTAAAAAGCTTTCATTCCTTCCTTAAGTGGCTAGCTGGCTTTATAGCCGAAATCTGTCAGCATAACTAAGCTGCAGCAGGAATGTTGTTAAGACAAAGGAATGATGCACATTATTCCTATATCCAGTGATAGTCCTATATCCTGTGAGAAGGGTAAGTATATAACATAAAGTGTAAGAAAAGCACAGAGAAGCAGCCAATCTAGAGCTGCTATAAAGGCGTTTATGGAAATCTAGGGAGGCCAGTAAAGCTAAAATGTCGTTAACATAACAGCCTGAGCACAGGATGAAATGTATTGATTCATTTCCAGAGAAATCTTTATTTGCACTTCACTGGCCCTGAATGATTGCAGCGTCTCTAAAGCTCTCACTAGGGGTACAGGGATTCTTCAAATACACAGTCCACTTCAGGCCTCGATTTTTGAGTCTCAGTTCATATCTTGTTATCTTTGCTTTAGAAAAAACGTTCACATGCTACTGATTTGAAATTCCCTGGTGTTTCTATTATCCACACATTGAACCACACTGGATCCTTGGCGACAGGACTGGGACTCCTGAATGGAAATAACTTTGACTTCCTCCTTAATCAAATCCCGTCTTTTTGCTCTTTTACAAACTACATGTGCACTAACCTCAATTACAACAAGGCCTGAAAACACACTTTGCACGCTGCTGTTAACCATGCAGGCAACAAGACTGAGGCACACTTGACATTGACATCTCCTTTTTTAACAACAGGGATACAAGTAGTTTCTCTGCTCCCATGCTGAGGATTACGTATGAATTGATTAAATATAATAAATTATAAATCCTATGAATAAGGTCATAAAAATGTCGGGTTTTGGAGATGAGGAGCACAGGGGTTAAAAGGAAATCAAATGATGCCCTTCAGAGCCACGGCAGATGACTGACAATGAAAATGCGTTTGAATGGATGCAATAGGAGCAATAACAGATCCTATGAAAACAAAGCAAAACAGAACCAATCTTTCCTGCTGAAGAAAAAAACACGCAACTTCCAACATTTTGCACAATACACCTGTCACCACACTGGAAATAAACTAATGTGGAAATGTGCGGTGTTGCTGTTTGAACGCTGTGCACCGGCTCTGTTAGCGGAGCCCTGAGAGGTGATTACAAATTCAAGTCACACACATCTGTCCACGGACGCTGAGCAGCAGCCAGGCGCCAGGACTGCTAGCATGTAGCTCGTAGCTAACAAACAGGATGAATGAAGTGTCTCCGTCTCCTACCTTTCAGCACCACCACCACCTCGGCACCGGCGGCGTCCTCCGCCTCCGCTCCGCCGCCGGACGGGGGCTCGTCCCCCTCGAACAGCTGGTTCACCTCCCCCTGGATGTCGGAGGGGCGCCGCTCGCCGTCGCTCTTGGAGACGGTGAACCTCTGGCTCATGGTTGTCGCCGGTGAGACAAGCGGCGGGTCCTCTTGCCACGGTGCGGGCTAACGTGGACGGACAGCGGCGAAGAAGAGAGGAAAAACAAGGAGGTCTCTGGCTTCTCTGGTTGTACCCCCTCCTCCCCCGCCTGGGTGAGTTCACCTCCGGCTCCGGTGTCCTGGTCCTGGGAGAAGCGGCGCTTCTTTGCCGTGTTCTCGGGTGTGCGATGCGGAGTGGAGCCGCTCATCAACCGGTGTCTGCTGCCGCCGCTGCACCTGGGTCCTAAAGCCGAGGAACTCCGACCGCAGCGCCGTTTTAAAAACAACGTTAAAGACAACGTCGACAGCAGTTTGTTAAGAAGCTGCACGACACGGTAAACTCTGTATTTCAATATTATTAATTTTATTTAAACAGTTTGAATCTAGTTTTATTCAGAAGAAACATTTTACATGAAGCGTTCAAAGCTAAGAGCCCTCTTCGTGTCTGAGTTGGCGTTGCTAGGCAACCACAGGATAAGCCAAAGCTGCTGTCAGTCCTTCAATCAGGTACAACTTTATTAGTTTCTTTATTTATCTATTTATATTAGTTCTTTATTTATCTATTTAACTTTATTGGTTTCTTTATTTCTCTAATTCACTTTATTAGTTTCTTTCTTTATCTATTTAACTTTATTAGTTTCTTTATTTATCTATTTAACTTTATTAGTTTCTTTATTTATCTATTTATATTAGTTCTTTATTTATCTATTTAACTTTATTAGTTTGTTATTTATCTACCTAACTTAATAATTTTATTTATTTATCTGCCTAACTTAATAATTTTATTTATTTATCTATTTAACTTCATTAGTTTCCTTATTTATCTATTTAACTTTATTAGTTTCTTGATTTATCTATTTGACTTTATAATTTTATTTATTTATCTACCTAAAATTGTTCGTTTATTTATTTAACTGTATTCATCTAATTATATATTTAACTTTATTAGTTTATTTATTTATTTATCTACCTAGCTTTATTCGGTTTTTTTTCTTAACTTCATCAGTTTATTAAGTTTTCAGGATGTCTTAATATAAAACAGTGGCGAATAGGATTTTTGTCATTATCATGTGTAATATTTTATGTCAATATATTTCAATATAATGTGCAATATTTCAGTTTCAATATCATCAGCAGTATCCCATATTGGTTACTCTTTTATCATTTCATTTCTACCTAAGTATTAGTTTTTCTCAAGACACTTATATTTTACTTATTTCAATCTTCACTTGTATTTTAGACTTGTTTTTTTAATCTTATTTTATTCTATTTATAACTGTACTGTAATATTGGAGCAAGCTGGCAAAATAATTTTCTCTGGGATTATTAAAGTCTTATCTTATCTTGTCTTATCTCTATCTTCAAGTGTCCGCAATTTATCCACAGGGGCCAATTATATGTACAACGTCCATGCACAATTCCTGATTCAGTAAGGCTTCATATTTTTGTCATTCTTTGGTTACTGTTGGCTCTATGAAACCTAGAAAAAAAGGTTATTCCCATGCTGTGTTTCCCTTTGTTAAAAGATTTAAACATACCTTTTTCACTACCTAGGGATTACGTCTATTCCATATCATTTGGGTCCGCATTTTTCTAATTATCATACATTAGTTAGAAGTTTGCGTTGCTGAGGTATAATATCAGCACTAACTAGATATCTACCTAACGAATTAAGGAATTAGTGACTGGAATATTTGTCAAACTGTTTACCAACTCATGTAGAAATTAAAAAAAATAATTTGGCAAGAAAATCTGAATGGAAGACAACTAAATCAGATGCAACAAGAAGGCTGAATGCAAAGGACAAGGAGAGAACACAGTTTCATTAGCAGTATTAAGTAAGGCCACATCAAACTAAACTCATCATTGCTTTTCATTCTTGTAATAGTTTATCCAACATTTTATTTCTTACAAACACATATGAACTGTAGACATTTCATAGATAGATCCACATAGACTGCGACATCTGCAGTCAAACAGAATGGGTTTTTTACCAAAATGTGTTAGTGACACAAACTTACAGAGGACTTTGATGGAACAAATAGGTTAAAACACATGGATCTTAAAAAAAACCATTGAAACCTTCACATGCCTGCAAGAAGCTGGATGAGTTAGAAGAATGTAATGACTCCAACAGCACAGTAGATGGTGATACAGCACCATTCTGATTATCTCAAGAAGCAGAAGAAGAAGCGTTGCTCAATCACTGTGAGGAGTAGCGGTTTGAATGTTCTCTTCAGTTCTTCAGGCGAGTCTTTTATCATCTCGTTACTGATTTCTCACTTGGACCTTGCACACAACAAAACAATCAAGCAGTAAGTCTTACAGGTGGAGACTGAGTCTTTTAACCTTGTTGCAGGTTTTGTAGTTGTTCTGCAGAGTTCAGTTGGACTGTTCCTGGACCAGTTTCTCCAAGTTCCCTGACTGACGTAAGAATGAGCAGGTTTTTTTTATCGTATGATAAAACACAAAGTCATTGATGCTGTTTTTTGATGCATGTTTTGCTGTGAGTTGAAGTTGTACAATGCAAATGATTTATGTCTGACATGACGCGTTCAATCTCAGGCCTGGACGTTTCCAGTTTCTAGTTTCTGATGCAGAACAAAAAATATATCAAGAGATAATTATCACAATTGATAATGCCTCATGTAATGTAATGTTCACATTGATGGCTTCAAAGTATTCTGCATGCTTTATATTATTATTATGCTTATTATTATTAGCAGTAGTAGTAATATTCACATTAGTAGTAGTGTTATTGTTATTATTTTGTCATCATCATTATTGTTAGTAGAAGTAGTAGTATTATTATTATTAGTAGGGCTATTATTATCACTATTATCCAGTTTTTTTCCTGTCCAGGTTGAACAGATCCAAATTAGCTGCTAGCTAACATTGTTTGCCCTGTAGAAAATTAAAATAATAAATAATGTCACATTATTCTCGATATGTTTCAGTCTAAAGACTGATTTTTGATCATAACTTCTGCAACACTGAGGTAGATAACATTTATTATTGATATATTGCTATTGCTAGAAAAATACCTTGCAACAATGACTGATACTGTTCTATTGTCCAGCCCTAGTCTTAGAGAATTACGAAACTTTCGAACTGTTTTTTGTAATCTGCCACGAGAAGATATAAACAGAATATATTTGTGTCTAGGACTGAATTAATTGAAAATACATTTGAAGACATCGTCTAGAGTTATCAGAAACCAGGAATTAATGGTTAAATTTTTTTTATGTTTCATAGACAAATGACTGATTGAGAAAATAATCAACAGGATAAACTGATGATTAAAGAAAAAAGGTTCAGAAAGCTTGTACTTAGGGATTAACCTAAAGCAATTTAACATGATTTCCCCCCCCCTGTCTAGTCCCCTCTGGTCATGCAGCTGGTGATCCGCCAGTACCGTCCCTCAGACAGGGACGCGGTGCTCGATCTGTTCAGCGTCGGCATCCAGGAGCACATCCACCCGTGTTTTCAAAACAGCATGACCAGCCCTCACTACCTCACCATCACCCTGGCTCTGTGCGCTGCTGGCTACCACCTCGGCTCTGTGTTTGGGGCTGTGTTGTTACCAGGACTCTGGATGGGCCTTGTCTACTATTGCTGTTATGAGATATATTCTGGTTACGTCAGGATGAGGCTCCAGACAGACATGCGGGACATCCCTGGGAACTTCCAGAGCAGACCAGATGACTGTTTCTGGGTGGCTGAGGCTGAGATTGATGGGAGGGTGCAGATTGTGGGTACGGTGGCTGTGCTAGCCAAACAAAGTGGGAAAGAAAGGTACGGAGAACTTCTCAGAATGATCATCTCCCCTGTGTGCAGACGGGTCGGCCTGGGCTGCAGGATGGCTCAGACTGTGGTTGACTTCTGTAAGGAACGAGGCTTCTCCAAAGTGTCTCTGGAGACCAGCTCCATCCAGACATCTGCTGTGGCCCTGTACAAGAAACTGGGGTTCTGCCATGTCCTGTCGCACATAAAACCAGAGGCTCACCCGTGGATTGTAATGCTGGCTAATGTCACAGTTTTAAGAATGGAAAAGCAACTGTAGAGTTCCCTACCACAAAACCTACCCCGGGAAAATTTGGAATGAGTAACAAAGCCTTTTCAGAATTTTTATACCACTTGTACTGTGTGGATGAAAACCTATTAATTGGTTTCATAGATGATGCTCGTTTAAGTTTAATGAATCAAGATGAACCATTGTTGATTATGTGCTTATTTTTCAAAATCTTGTTTCTCGAATACTGTGATTTTATTTCTTAAATAGACCTGGAATCACTCCCAAACAATGCCAGAAATAGACCCACTCCGAAAGGTTTTTTCCAGTTTGTGTGTATGATCCCCTCCATCCTACATTGACATGCACTAATTACAGCATTTTAAAGCCCCTGTGCAGCCACACAAGTGTTTTAAAAACCAATAGAATGATGGTGTAACTTCTTCCACCCAAAAAGGTGCATGAAAACTAATAATAATAACTCTATTTGTAGAGCACTTATCTAAACAAAGTTACAAAATAGTGGTGTCAGAGAGATGTCCTTTATATTGTAATTTTATTCTTAAATTTGTGACTAACAATAAAGGGGGTTTCAGGTTTGCTTTCATCTGTTACCTAAATGCAAAACGTAAATTTTAGCAAAAAGGTAAATACAGACTCTTGAGTTTACAGACAACGCTGTTGATTGTGAATGATTAACAACAGAGGGCGCTATTTATCTAAATACCAGTGAGAAGTTTCTCTGTAAATCAATATCTTCAGTACAATATCTGCAGTTCTGCATTCACAGATTTTCAGATGATCACACATGTTCATGGGATTATGAGGTCAAATATCTGTAACATGCACTTGAATATACCTAATTATGAAGACAAATAGAGTACTGTACTCAGGTGCTAGTATGTTAGGTTTATTAGAAAAAGAAACTGCAATAAGTATGGGGGTTGTGCAGTTCTTTATAGACACACGTGTGATTTTGTTGTAATTTTTAAGAATCATACTGTTAAAAGTTTTGGACTTTTCTGTTGTAACTGTTGTTGTCTGTTTTGCTTTTGTCTTTATTCTGGTGTCAGGTTTGTGGAGCTCATTGAATAAGTTTGTGTGTATGTATGTTTGAGTCTGTTATTTGTTTTCATCATTGTTTTTTTCATTGTACATTTTTTTTGTCTTAACATTGCATCGTTATATAGATCCTCTTTTATTCTCTTCTTATATGTAAAACTGTTGGTAGAGGAGGAGGTATTTGTTTTTTTGATTGTATGCTTGTGCATGAGAAAATGACAATTAAGATCAATAAAAATCTTAAAAATCTTGAATCTAAGATCCTCGTACTTTTTATTTCCTGACAGAGAAGTAGTTAAATTAAGCTGAAGACACAACTGTGCACATGACAGGAAGTGATCAGGAGCCTGAGTTTACATGACAATGGTGGAGATCCTAACAAGTAATAGACAAAGAAATAAAAGTATCTACAGAGTGAAAATACTCCTCTAAATTAAAAGTCCTTGTTGTTAAGTGGAGTACCTACAGTAAACATAGTTACATTCCTCAAAGTCTACCAGTTTCATCTCACTCAATTTGCCACAATGAAAATTTTTTTACCACTGAGGGGTGCCAATGTTTTCAAATCCACACTATGGCTGTAAACACTTGATCAGACATTTTATTCCGAGCAACCACATTTTTCTGTGTAATTTCCCCTTTAAATGATTTAAAAAAACAAGCACTGAAATGAGTATTTATATGAACATTGACAGAGAACCTGAGACTGTGGTGAGTTCTCATGTTCCTGCTCGAGCTCCGTGTGTTTCATCCTACAGAACATACTGTACAGTTCAGGTGAGTGGGCGCCTGAATGGGCTCATGTGGAGAAAGGAATTGGCCTCTGTACTGTATTTCCACCACAGGAACTTTTCCTTAGGGAACAGAAACCTTTTGAAGAACTCAGTTCCTCTATGAGAAGTTGCACCTGGGTCGGAGAATGCAGAACACAATGTTCCTGATTGGTCAAAGACAACAGTGTTTCCTGCAGTATTGTTCACCTAGCATAAAAACAAAAGAACAACATTTTGCTTGTTGCTGGTGGCCATCATTAGCCCGGCATCGTCAGACCAATACACATTTGGAAACTCTCCTACTTTATGTACAGTTTCCATTGTGGTATCACTGGTCACAGATGCAGCTGGACCCATTTGACAAAAAACAACAGAAAAGTGCTGGAGGCACTTAAGTAGTTTTACTGGAAACAATTACATATACAGCATTAAAGAGGGTTTGGTCAATTGAGTGATTTTACGCTTTTAAAATTAAAGTGTCTCTTGCAAATTCTATATGTCAACATTTAAAAGATTTGAGTGTATACTTAAACCATGTATTTAATACACATAGTCATATAAATAATGTATAATCCAGCTAAAAAATGCAGTGGTTTCAATAAGCTGCTTTTCAGATAAAGTTTTTTTAGGGACCAGTGAGTGCTTTTTACTTTTGATGCTATATTTTGCTGGTTTGAATACAGGACTTTTACTTGAACTGTAAGAGTTTATTTCTCTACTGTGGCATTGCAGCTTTTAGCTACAACTTAATGCTCTGGAACGATCCAGTACTTTTCTTTACTTCCACTTCTAACACTTCCAGAGTAGTTAATTTTGTTTGTGAGAAAACAAGCGACCCACATCCCCAAGTGCCCCATGGGCCATAACTGGGAAACACACACCCACACACACAGCATAGGACCAGTCAACTGCTCACACAGCAGGACAGAGGGCTGCTGGCTCCATTGAAACAACATAATGCTGCAGTATATTACCTTATTTACAACCATGTGGAAAAACCTCTGAATGGATCCAGTCAGGCTTGTCATAAATGTTTTATCTGTTGTTCCAAATGAGAATTTAATGTTGTTGTTTTCACTTTAAAGGCCCCGTAAACGTATTTTTCGGAATCATCCTTTTACTGTCAGTTATGTGATCACACATACATTTGATTTGCAGCTTAAGTTTGACAGTTAAGCAACAGGAGTTTCTCTTTTCACAGGGCTGAAGTGGGCGGTAATGATGTCACGTACATCTGCACACCATCAGCATGTAGAAACATTTCTGATCACATATAGCTGCAGAGTTTGTCAAAGATATTTTGTAACTTCAATTGTTGCGTATCAAATATTTTATTACTTATAGAACAGATTTTTAAAACATCAATGTATCAAATAAGAATGTGAGAGGGGTCACACAATGATCAAGTGGCTGTATTTGACGTAATCAAAGAACCATCATGTTAAATAAAGATCTTGTGGTAACAAACAAATGATTCACTGTGCACACCCACACACAAGCAATGATGCTGGTGATCAGGTGAAAAGGAAGTTGTGAGGTTGTGCAGCATCAAATATTATGATTTTACCACTTTTCTTATGTACACAAATACAGAGATCTTTGTGACCTTGATCAGAGGACGCCAAGATGAAAAGTTAGTGTGGGGAAAGTCATGTGATCTGTGGCAGTTGCTTGAGTTCAAATTCAAATCAAATAAAGTTTTATTCGTATAGCTCGTATCTCCCATGTGAAAAGACAGTGTTTAATATAAATGGAGAGGCTAGAGAATAAATATTTATGCATGTTCATAATAAAAAAGGTCATTATAAATATGATACATCGATTTAAAATTCTCAACTAACTTTATTTGTTTAAGTGGAGAACACAAAAATCAAATGTTTGACTCTTTTGTCCACATGTTCCCACAAATAGAGAAATGTTTCCCTTGATAAAGTTTGCTGAATCTTTATTCTTTAATCATCTCCGTCTCTCTCATCTACATCTCTCTGATCTTCACATCCCTGTACCTACAAAACCAACACATGACACTTGTTTTGAGTTCATCTCTACACACATTTCAGGTGAATGACACTTGGCAGCGCTCCAAAGCAAAGAGATTGAGAAACCAGAGGTAAAGTTACTCCTGCCTGTGTTATAACACTTGGCAGTGTTTGTGTGTGCTCTATCTGTCCGTCAAAGGCTTTGAGTTCAACACTTGTGAAAAAGCCAAACAAGATGACAATACTGATCAATGACCAATCTGTGTCAGTTGTTGAAGAGGCTGAGGGGTTTGTGTTGTTCAAGGCCCTGAGAGTTGACAAACAGCATCTATGTGATTTACTGTAACTGTTTTCATGCTGTACTTTTACAGACATGCACGGTGAATGATCATGGCTGAGAACAGAGTATGTTACTTTTTAAGAGAAAGGGTTATAGTATAAAAATTACAGTCAAGGTAGGAATCTTTAAATAATGAAGAGGAAACTGGGACAGGGCAAAAGAAAGAAAGAGGATAGTGAGCAGCATACACATAATGATAATAACCATAAAAGTAAAACAAATGATAAACTATTGTCAACAGGTAACTTGTGACACAGATCTACAGGATAAAACAAAGTAGACAATATAATGAATAATAAATAAAAAAAAGAAAGCTTATGTCTTCATTAGTGAAAACTGTTAAATTAAGAGGATACTGCTGGTTGTTTTGAATGTGAGGAGGCTGGGGTGACAATCAGCAGCTGCAGGTCTGAGGTCACAGTTGCTGCCTTAAATGAAGAAGTTACTTAATTGCAGAGCTGTGTGCAGTTCACTCTGCCTCATCATTGCTTTCTGTCTCTTTCACGAACACATCGACCCGGCTGTGGCTCAGATTGATCGTTGACAGTATTGAGAGAAATCCTGCCTGCGTCATTAGCTTGTTTAAACATTCATAAAGATTTTACTGTCCACTGCAGGCAGGATTCACCAGAAAGTCTTTCCTGTGTGTTCATGAGACAAACATACAGTTCTCAGTATGTAGAAACGTCAGATTAACACCAGGCCTTCTCTGTAAAGCTGCTTTCAGACATGCCCTGAACTCCACAGATCCTAAATACTTTCCACAGAGGAGAAAGCGGTCTGAGCAGAGCACCTCCCGCTGCGTTGTGCATGTGTGAAAGGCAGACTCTGGGTAAACTCCAGACCCAAAGGTCATGTATGAAAATGGTTGAGTGTACTGTAAGTGTGTGTGTCCTCCCCCTGACTGATCAGCTGTGAAAGTTATTCATCTGGAGATTATCCTTCCACGGAACATCCCACCAGGTTTGGTGAAAATACGTCAATTCTTCTTTGAGTTATTTTATACACACACACAAACAGACAGAGATGAAAACAATCCTCTGCTCCTGGCTATGCCGGCACGCTCGGTAATGTTGAATGAGCTTTCTCCACAAGGGTCCTGGGCTTGTCCCTAAAGATAGGATAAGATAGTATAAGCAGCCCAGACATGTGGAGGGAGCTCAGAGTAAAGTTGTGAGACAGCTGAGGTGGTTCAGGAATCTGATCTGGATGCCACCCAGGCACTTCCTCTGGAAGGTTTATATGGAGAGATTATATAGCTCATCTGGCCTTGAAACACCTCGCGCACGTCACTGGGCAGATCAATGTACTCATTTAACCTGTTGCCACCATTACTCGACTCCGGTTAGACTGAAAAAAATAAGATGTTCAAATCATTATTACCTCTCAATAAAATAAATGAAAATAAGTAGTTTGAGTTTGTTTATTACATAATTCTGAGGAAGGTCTAACTAAACATGTATCTTTTAGTTCGGTGAAAGTTTGTGAGATGTTGCCTGGGGCTAAAACTGCAAGATTAAAAAAGATGAAAAGGAGTGTTTGTAAAAGAATTGGAAGAAAGGAAGGAAGGAAGGAAAGATATTAGATGCAGATAGCATGCAGGTAGATGACCATAAGTTAAACAGGCCCAAAGCATGAGGTCCACAGTGATTTCCTCACTTGCCTAACCCGCTCTCCAACGTGTCCGTTCCCATGGACACCAGTCTGTTCACCACCAATCAAAATTCAGAATCAAAATCAGGTTTTATTGCTATGCAGGTTTACACATAAGTGAAAGTTGCTGTGGTTTATTTGCTCAAGTATAACTGTAAAAAAATAAATAATAGGACTTTTTTTTTTAATCATATAATGTTCGATAACATGTTTGATATCTATGATTAAAGATCTGAAAGACTCCGTCACAATCTGTAGAATTAAGATTATATTGTAAACTCCTCACACTTCCGGATTATTTGGGCAGATAATGGGCACAGAGAGACGACCCCGTGATAGCCAGACGGGTCAAATTGGGTCCAAAATCAGCCTGATTGTCCTTTAATGTGCAGCAGCCTCATCGTACATGCTGACAGACAAACCAAA